GGGCCTAAAAAAAATTTTTGCGGGGGGGCCATTTTTTTCTAGTTCCGCCACTGAGTAAGAATAGTTGATAATTACAGAAAGAAGTTTGTAAATGTATTCTAGATCCAATAAAGACTTCTGTTGATAAACTGTTGGTAACTGTTGATACACTGCTGGTGAATGTTGATAGGCTGGGTTGTTTTTGCTGATAAACTGGTGATAACTGGTAATTTGGACATACATTTAACATCACACTTTAAGATTATTAAATTAATATTAAATTATGTTATTTATTCATTTACCCATCACCAGTAACACAGAAAAACAATGTACAGACAGCGACCCACGTAAAACTACACACAGACACATGACCTTCAGAAAACCACCCACACAAAATTACACACAGACACATGACATATAAAAAACCACCCACACAAAAATACACACAGACACACGACCTATAAAAACCACCCACACAAAAATACACACAGACACACGACCTATAAAAAAACCACCCACACAAAAATACACACAGACACACGACCTATAAAAACCACCCACACAAAAATACACACAGACACACGACCTATAAAAAAAACCACCCTCACAAAAATACACACAGACACACGACCTATAAAAAAACCACCCACACAAAGGTACACACAGACACACGACCTATAAAAAAACCACCCACACAGAGATACACACAACGTCAAGATAATCGACCCGGAAGTCGGATAACAAGACAAACAGCCATAAGAATATGATTTAAAGTTTGATGATTTACTTGAGCATACGTCCTGGCTGTCAAACATTTTGATAACAGGGGTCAAATAATAACAATAAATAAATCTTCAGGAGGATCGACATTATATATATATATATATATATATATATATATATATATATATATATATATATATATATATATATATATATATATATTCATAAATATATATCTTTTAAGTCACTTTTTTTTCTAAACAATGCCATTGTATTATACAAGCGTTACTGCCAGATCCAAATTGGTTAAAATATCAATTGTGGAAAAGTAATTACATGTGTATTTATATATAGTTAGGGTTAGATTATAATTTAAAGATCTTTATTGGAAACCAATTCTAGACAGTATGCATAGTATACAGGTGTGGACTGGCTATGTCCAACAGGAATGGAAAATTTAAAAAAGGGTAGGCCTACTCAACCACGGATCTAAATTTGACGTATTTGTTCTTCACCAGGACCTGAATTTTACTCGTTTGTGTGGAGGAATTGTAAGATTGTTAAATACAAACCATTTTTTTAAACCACTGATTAGATTAATACTCTACAATTCCAAAGTGCCCACCTAGAAAACTTCCAGGGGGCCCTTCCCTGCTAGTACGTCCGTCTAAAAAGTTGGTGTCCGGCTTTGACTAGGCACGTCGTGTGTCCGTCTAAAAAGTTGGTGTCCGGCTTTGACTAGGCACGTCGTGTGTCCGTCTAAAAAGTTGGTGTCCGGCTTTGACTAGACGTGTGTCCGTCTAAAAAGTTGGTGTCCGGCTTTGATCAGAGACGTCGTGTGTCCGTCTAAAAAGTTGGTGTCCGGCTTTGACTAGGCACGTCGTGTGTCCGTCTAAAAAGTTGGTGTCCGGCATTGACTAGGCTCGTCGTGTGTCCGTCTAAAAAGTTGGTGTCCGGCTTTGACTAGACACGTCGTGTGTCCGTCTAAAAAGTTGGTGTCCGGCTTTGACTAGACGTGTGTCCGTCTAAAAAGTTGGTGTCCGGCTTTGACTAGACGTGTGTCCGTCTAAAAAGTTGGTGTCCGGCTTTGACTAGACGTGTGTCCGTCTAAAAAGTTGGTGTCCGGCTTTGACTAGACGTGTGTCCGTCTAAAAAGTTGGTGTCCGGCATTGACTAGGCACGTCGTGTGTCCGTCTAAAAAGTTGGTGTCCGGCTATGACCAGACACGTCGTGTGTCCGTCTAAAAAGTTGGTGTCCGGCTTTGACTAGGTACGTCGTGTGTCCGTCTAAAAAGTTGGTGTCCGGCTTTGACTAGACGTGTGTCCGTCTAAAAAGTTGGTGTCCGGCTTTGACTAGACACGTCGTGTGTCCGTCTAAAAAGTTGGTGTCTGCGGATGTGTTGGAATATGTTGAGAAATGATTTTTAGTGATACAAAAAATTCATTATATTTTTCAAGATGTCTCCTTTGGTTTTTGAGCATTATATTTGTTAACAGGTAAATTTATGGAAATTGACACTCCAATCGGCGAAAGCTACCCGTCGATGGCTTACTTCACACAGCAACCGATGCAAGGTTAGATAACCCGATTTTGATACCACGAGTTACCTTCCATTTCATAGTGTTAGTTTTAATACTCTACAACTTTATTTAACGTTTAGAGACACTATGTGTTTTTATGATATGAAATAATAATTAGTAATTTGTTTAAGTTTGAGAGTTGTTGCTTGAACACCATGATCATCATTTTGATTAAGGGCAGGTTAAACCCCCAAATTGAACTTTAGGTGTTAGGACTTTTTTGAGTGATAAGGAAGTTGTAGCTAACATAGTATATGAAAAAAATAATAAAAAAAATCACTAAAAAGTTATGTTTTTGTGAAAATATTTTCTAAAAAGTGTCATTTTTAGGGTCAAATAGCTCAAAATTAGCTCTCATTGAAATCACAATAACACAGCTTCTGTTTGTTAGAATAACACAAATCTTTAACATATAGTGTAATATACACAATTCCAAAAAAGATGAACCAAAAACTATTAGAAAATAATAAAAAATGGATTTTAGCCAAATTTTTTAAATGTGAGACCTAAAAAATTTCCAAAAAGTAGGGAGTAGACAGCTTTTATTTTATAAAACGTGAATTTTCAAAGATATAGAAATTCTTTTTGTTCAACTTTACCAGCAGTGTTTATTAAACATGTGTGCAAAATTTCAGCTAAATACCTTAAGTACTTTTTGAGTTATAGTGATTTAACTGGTACAATTTTGTTGAAAAGTAACATTTTGAGAAAAACGCTAAATAGTGAAAAATATTCTAAATTTGAAAAAAAAAAACCGAGAAAAAGCGAAAAGTATACCAAATAAGTCATTTTTAAAACCTCCCAGTTACATAAATTGCATCTGGAGCCTCTTACTCAGCAATAAGAACATCTATTTTAGTTAGTTTTAAATTTTTTTGTTGCTAAATGTTGCTTAATATAGGTGAATTACGTCATTACTCTCATTAATTAAAAAATTATAAAAAATGATAGCAATACGAAATTTTGCTAAATGATTATACAAAAATGTTCAGAATTGAATGTAGTTTCAGAAACAATAGATTTTCAAAAATCAACATTTCTGACTTAAATATGTTGTTTTTTTCTTAGGCAGAAGGAGCAATAAAATGCAAAATGTATGGGAGACAACAAGTAAAATTCCGATGTAGACAGTTGAAACGAGTTGCCGTTCTTCAACAAATATTCTGCTTACCAACAAATATTCTCTAGGCAACATCTACGAACTTTGTACCCGGCTTACGGCCAGTGGCGTAGCGAGGTCGGGTGTCACCCGGTGCGGCACTTAATGGTGTCACCCCCAGAGGCGTAGCGACCCTTCCCGGGGACAAACTTTCAAGTTTTCGATTTGCAACCCCCCCACCCCCCCCCCTCAAACTTTCGATTTGCGCCCCCCCCCCTCAAGTTTTCGATTTGCACCCCCCCCCTAAAAAAAAATTCGATTTGCGCCCCCCCTCCCCTCAAGTTTTCGATTTGCACCCCCCCAAACTTTCGATTTGCACCCACCCTCAAGTTTTTCTCTATATATTTTGCTATATTTTGCCTTGGTGTCACCCCCCTAAATGGTGTCACCCGGTGCGGTCCGCACCCCCCGCCCCCCCCATCGCTACGCCCCTGCTTACGGCAGATAATTCGCTACCAGGTTCACAGTTTACAAACTGATAAAACGGACGAACTACAAACTACAAAGATGATCAGAAATCCTACACAGACTGATAGATTTTTGTTAAATGTTTTCATACTCCGATCCCTGTAACATTTCACGCTATTTCAAATAAATAACCAATCAATTAAACCATCAGATGAAACTTATTATAACAATAAAACTAAAAATTCTGCCCATAGTCCAAATTAAATATATTGGTTAAACAGTCTAAAAAATATTTTCTCAAACAAGCATTTGGTGGCATTTGGGAAAGTTACGTCACCGTGTTGTAATTACTTGAGTTGTCTCGCTTTTTCCAGAAAGTCGTTCGACCAATTCATAATTGCAAAAAAAAATAATTTTTTTATCATGTTTATGATTTAATTCCAACAATAACACAATATTTATCACACGAACTCTTGTTTCACTTTTATATCAAAGTTGTAATGTCTTTCATTAACAAAGATAACATTAATTGCTCTATACACATAGAAACACACCACTTATGTGAGCTATTAATTAAACATTATATTGTCCGGGAAAAGTATGGGAAGTTACAAACATACGTATATAAAATGTATAAAACATGCTTCCAAAAATTATGCCAGTTCAAAAATATATGCATAAAAATTAGTTAAAATATATCTTTGCTAATTGGTTCGCGAAAACGTGTACATACTTATAAAATAATAAATTGAATTTAAAAAAGAATTCCAAATCACAATCTTGCTTAATAATTTGCAAAATTGCATCTGAAAATATACTGAATACATACGCATACTCTGACATACAAACAAATACACATACATTTACACATACATATACACCCATTTATATATATATATATATATATATATATATATATATATATATATATATATATATATATATATATATATATATATATATATATATATATATATGTATATATATATATATATATATGTATATATATATATATATATATATATATATATATATATATATATATATATATATATATATATATATATATATATAAATGAAAAGTGATATTGATAGTGTGTATCTGTATGTATATGTGTGTGTGCGTGTGTGTGTGTGTGTGTGTGTGTGTG